TTTCTCATCTGTACGTAATCCCATGTATTTTTACATATGAAAATGACAGTGCTAAAGAGTAGAGCACATAACATGGACTGTACTATACTGAATTATAAGTTCATTCTGGTTATTTGAGAAAAGGGTTATAGACAACAAATCACGAGCTTGAATAAGATTGATTCAGTAAACACTTCAGTAGCCACTGGGGGTACAAATTTTAAAGTTCCAGTCTTAACTGGTTTGACCACTTTGGGAAAACAATCTTATAATTTCTAAAAAGATCAAATGTAGTGTTGCCAAACATTCCACCAGTTCTAATCCCAAAGAATACCTAAGAAATTGAAATATATTTCCACATAAAAACTTGTACATGAATTTTGATCATGGGTCAACACCCAATATTTTTGGTACTGTGTGTATCAAGTAAGTATCAAGCAACTGCTATGTTGTTAGTGGGTTAGGGATATAAAATGCATTTTTTACTAAGTGGCATTTTCAGTTTATGATGGGTTTAGGTAAAAGTGTATCTCTGTAGGGCTGCCATTTTCTTGAAGAGTAATGGCTGACTCTGGCCTGATGAAATGGGTCATGATTGTTAATATGTAGTCCTAGTCATTGTTCTTTCTAAAACAAAGAAACCCAGATTAGTTCATATTTCATTAAGTAGAAAATAATAAATTGTATATAAATTCTCTCCAGATTCATTTACTTTAAAAAACATAAGGGGTATTAGTAGAAGAGTTTATTCGTCCACTCCACAATCAAATCCCAGGAGGAAGATGAACAAAGCAAAAGGTTCTCTTTCTATCCTTAGAACTCAAAGCTTGCTTAATTGGTTTCCAAAATAGGAATATATACAAGAAAACCATATGAAACAGGTAGAAAACAACTTAATTTTATGTTTTTTTTATACCTTCCTAAGTAAAAATACACTTATACATACAATTGAGATTTGTGTTCAGGTTATTATAACTTAAAAGGTCACATTCAACTATTCAGAGATTTCTCTCCCAATTTATTTGTAGGGGATGATACCAGTAACCAAGCTTCAAAAAATGGAGATTTAAATGTGTTTTATTAAAACACATGTGACTTACAGACAGAGTATTTACAGTTATAACTGTCTATATGTGATTAATACATGTAACTCTTAAGGAAAATTATTAGCTTTCACTTTTTCACTTTTTTTTTTTTTTTTAATGATTGTCTCCCTCTTGGGTGTTAGGCACTTTCATAGTCATTTCTAATCTAAACTCTTCCCATGAGATATAGGTATTATTCCCATGTAAGGAATAAAGAAACCTGTATTCAGGGATTTATTACACAGGAGTTGACAAGATGATATTAGATCAAACAGGCCACAAAATTTCAACCCACAGCCCTATTTCAAATACATACACTTCTTCTAACTTAAAATTACATAGAAGCTTATGGTTTGAAAGGTTTATTGGTGAGTAATTTTGTTACACTTTAAAATCTCAAAAGATAAAAATGTTTGATCAATTAACCAGCTTTCAGATAAGCATCTTTTTTCTTTAGAGCATTGCTATTGACATTTTGGTAAATTTTCCCTTAATATGAAACATTTCTTAAAATTATACTATGAAAATTTGAGTTCAAGTAAGTAACACTGCTGTTGTGCCTTTTAAAAAATGGTAACTTTCTTTTTTAAACTGGGATACTGCCTGTTTTTATGTGTTACAGAGAAAGATTAAAGAGGGATGATTGTGTATATGCTGGGTTATTTATTGCATGTGCATCTGTGTCTTAGTGCCCTGAAACAAATAGCTAAGACCAGACCATGGGAATACATAGGAACAAAGAGTAGGATAAATGCCTTACCTGTTAAATCTCCAGACTGAGTATTACACCCTTCATTTTATTATTTGTTTGCACCCTCATAATTGGTAAGTACATTTGTAGCTATAAATTAGTCAGTTCATTTTAAGATGTAGAGGTAGACTTAATCAGTAGCCTATTAATACATATATTGAGCTGTCTCCTTTGTTTCTCCTTTAGTCTTTCCATTTACAGCCCACTGGCACTCCAGGCACCTACCTACTTCAGACAAGTTCAAGTCAAGGCCTTCCCCTAACTCTGACTGCTAGTCCCACTGTAACCCTGACAGCTGCTGCTCCTGCTTCTCCAGAACAGATCATTGTTCATGCTTTATCCGTATGTTACATAATTTTACTTGATTTTTTTTTTTTAACTTATTATAAACCAGGACTAGTTTGCTAACTAATGTCTTGCATTATTGTCCCAGGCTCAGTATTTTGCACCCTCATTCTTCCTTCACTGGGATACTGCCCTTTATTCCTCCTTTTATGAGACAGATGTACATTATAGTAGGGAATTTAGGAGAGCCCTACTTGGTAAAGAATTGAGGTTCTAGAAAAATAGTATTCAAACATTTCAGTTACAGAGGTGAGAAATAATGGGAGGGACCATGGGGTACTACCTATAAATGTTATTTGTTCAATAATTTAAATCTAGTGTTACTTTCTCATTTTGCCATTGATAGTTGTCTTTAATGTTTTATAGCCAGAACATCTGTTGAACACAAGTGACAGTGTCACAGTGCAATGTCACACACCAAGAGTCATCATTCAGACTGTTGCTACAGAGGACATCACTTCTTCCATATCCCAAGCGGAACTGACAGTAGATAGTGATATTCAGTCATCTGATTTCCCTGAGCCTCCAGATGCACTAGAAGCAGACACTTTCCCAGATGAAATTCATCAGCCTAAGATGACTATAGAGCCATCATTTAATGATGCTCATGTATCCAAATTCAGTGACCAAAATAGCACAGAACTGATGAACAGTGTTATGGTCAGAACAGAAGAAGAAATCTCTGACACCGACCTTAAACAAGAAGAATCCCCCTCTGATTTAGCCAGTGCTTACGTTACTGAGGTAAGCAACACTTAATAGAAAAAACAGCTTAATGGGTTCTTGCCTTCAACCTCAAATCGGCCATTTGGAAATATCACTAAAGTGATATTTTAAGATCTTCCTTCCTTTTTTTAGATCCACAAAACAAGTACAAAGCCCTACCTCTGACCACAAAAGTATGAGTGAACAAACACTGATGTTTCTCACAGAAGTGGGCAGTCAAGAGATTTCTTGTGGCACTCGAAGGGAATAAGAAAGCTATGCTCTGTCTTAACAGTTCTTCACTACAACTTTTCCCCTCTCCACCTCGGTAGATTGAGAAATGTTTGTTAGAACAACTTCTGAGTGTGGTTAATAGTAGACTTTTATGGTTAGGCTTAGGAACCTTATCCCATGGTGTTAAAAGTCTACTTTCCTCTGTATTCAGGTGACCTGTAACTGAATTAATTCTTTTTTGCTCCTTTTTTGTTAACATTTAGTAAATTAAATTATGAGATTATGAAGGTTAACGGGGCCATCTTTTTAAGCTCTTAATCTTTATGTTTGAGAATTAAGTACTGTCAAACCTAGACATACTTGGGATCTGGAAAACCGACAAGGAATATGAGTCAAATCTTTTTCTTTCTTTCTTTTTTTAAAAATACTATTTAGGACTTAGAGTCACCCACCATCGTAGAACAAGTTGATCAAACAACTATTGATGACGAAACAATACTTATCGTTCCTTCACCACACAGCTTTATCCAGGCATCTGATGTTATTGATACTGAATCTGTCTTGCCTTTGACAACACTAACAGGTAACTGTAATATACCTCTTATATCCTGTGCTTGATAAATCTTAAGGGGAAAATTTGGGCCTTAAGTCTTTTCTTACTCCAACACGAAAACTCTAATCCCCTACACCATGGTAGAATACTTACAAAAATTCCTGACAGTCTTTTCCTATATATATGCAATTTTTAACCTAAGTTGAAACTTAACTCATTACAGATCCCATACTCCAACATCATCAGGAAGAATCAAACATCATTGGATCATCTTTGGGCAGTCCTGTTTCTGAAGATTCAAAGGATGTTGAGGATTTGGTAAATTGTCATTAGTTCATTCTTAGAAACAGGTAGTTAAAGCAAAGAAGCCACACTGTTAATTACAATATCTCCAAAGAAATAGGAGCAACCTCCCTTTTACCATTCCTCTGGCTTTTAAATAGCTACAATGCTTAAGCCATGCACATTGTTGCTGCTATGATTTTTTACCTCCTTTTAAGTATATCATCTGAGGTCCAGTTTAATGACAGTGTGTAGGTGAGTAGAATCTGGAAGATTTAACTGCACAGATCCTTGTGTTTACTGTTAATTGTCAGGACAGAATTTCATTTACTTAGCTACTGAGAAGTTTTTTTAAATCACCAAAGCAGTAATATTCATCTCTGCAGATAAACAATGGCACTCTTAACATTCTCAAGTAGGCCTGGTTGTATTTCAGAGAAAGCTCTCAACATGGTCTAGAGCTATCAGTGACCTTCTTCAAAAAGATTAAATAGTTTTGAGCCTTGACCAGCATAAAATACAGAGACCTAAGATAATTGTGTTGCGGTTACTTTTGGTTAACCCATTGCTGGCAGTGGGAGCTGGTTCAGGCAGGGTAAAGAGGACAGCATTAGAGTCAAGAAAATTCACTACAGGTTTTTTATTACTTTTAAAGGGAATATGGGTAAGAGTAGTAAACAACCCACTGGTAACTAAGCAGTTTTTACCCCCTCAACAGAAACCACTGTTATTAGTTTACAGAGTTAGCACTTTGAAGTAAAATTAAACCAAATATGGAAAGAGATAATATCCCCAATACCATGACTGTTTATTACATGTTTTATGACATAGACTATCCAGAAAATATTTGAGGGGGTATCAGAGTTTGCCATTCACTTAGTGCACTAGCTGGTGGAGGTACAATATAACTGCTCCCTCTCCAGCAATTTTTAAAAACAAAATAAAATTTGCTTCTGTAACAAAAGGAAATAAATCAAGAGTCATTCCTACTAGAGAAGGGTTAAGCCAAAACTAGCCTCTAGGGCTTTAATGAATATGACCCCTATAGAAAAGTCACAAAAAAAACTTGTATAAATTATTTTATTTATTATTGTAATTAGATCTTCACAATCAAAGTTGTCTTTTCACTGTCTGTGTTTTGTTAACGTGAAATTGTAGTTATAAGCAAAAGTTGGTTGCCTAGGGAACAATAATTGTATATTCAGTTTAACAGAAATAAAAGAATATTTGTCTTAAAATGCAAGATTTTGAGCGTTTGCCATGCAATTGTAAAAAATAATAATAATTTCAAAGTGAAAAGTACTTGTGCTGTATGAACTTCTAAGTTTTGGAATGTTTTAAGTGCAACATCAGCTCCTTAAAGAAAAAGCAATGAGATCTATGATATGTCTCCCTTTCAAGAGGGAATTTAAATTTACAATTAACATGAAAATCATGTATCAGACTTCTGTAGAAGATTCTTCAGCATATATCCAACATTTATTCACTGTCCTAATGTATAGTTTTGAAGAGTCTTGGTAAGTATTTCTCCTTGGCAGCCTCACCTTCCCACATCATGGAAGTACAGGTTCGCACATATACATAACATGATGATAGAAAATATGATATAGTAAATTAGATTTCTAAATTTCGGTTCTAAGTCTCCTTGTCGATACCAGTAGATCTAAAAGAAGAATTAAATAAAAATTAAACTAATAGCCACTGGGCCAACTGTTAAAATTTAAATTACAAAATTGTTTTTCCACCAATTTAACCAGTGAGACAGTCTTATTAGCCTACATCAATTTGTATGTATTTAGATAAAACTACTCAATGTTAGTCACTCAAGGCTTCAAGCCAGGGGAGACAAGAAGGTTCCCCAAGTGGGATGGGTCAGTTCTTCAGGTCATAGGACTGTAGTAAAACCAGTCCTATTTAAACTCAAAACAACCCAGAGGCACTTAGCAACTGAGTCACATCCCCAGTCCTTTTTATTTATTTATTTGGAGATGGTCTCACTAATTTGCTGAGAGTCTTGCTGGCTTTAACTTGTGATCCTCCTGTCCCGGACAGGCATGCCTAACTGTTTTTAAAGGTTTACTGTTTTGTTTCAGTTTTTCAAGGGTCATGAAACCACTACCAACTACTGAATAAATACTGAGGAGCCATTGTGGAGGGAAGCACAGAGATTAAAATAAATTATGTTATTAGAAATAAATCTAGAATGCTATCCCTTCCATTAAAAGTATTTCTCAAAGCCTGCTGGGCCCTGAATGTAGCCCTTGAGTGAAGATAAGTATATCAAAGTTTTTTAGCTACTAATTTCACTAATTTCTTCCTTCACTTTTTAGCTAAGAGTTCCAATTGTGGGACTTCTGAGTAAAAACTAATGTGCAATTAATAATTGGGACTTCTGGCATCTTGATGCAGAAACTAATGAGGACGAGTGGGGAGGTGGTATTAGACAGAACCTTTATATAGACACAGGGCTGGGAATCTATTCTAAGGACTGCAACATTAGGCCCTCAAGAATACTTCATTTAAATTCTAAATAGTACTCACAAGTATGCAGGCAGTAATACTACTCAAAGAGATGCAGACAGCAAAAAATATATTCAATGGTTTGGGAGGTAGTTGAGGGAAAACAAAAGCACTGATCAGCGTTACCTGTGTGGAGAGAAATTATATAAAGCCTTAGAATTAATTCTAAGATTTGGTTAGGGGTATAAGTCAGAAGGAGAACCACCTGTTTAGCATAATTGAGGCCCTAGATTCAAATATCAGCAACACCAAAAAGGGAAAAAAAAAAAAAAAAAAAGATGACTTATTAAGATCAAATCTAGACAAGGTAACGATACTAGAAGAAGCTTCACATTATAAAATTATTTCTACCCATCATGTTTGATTTCTGGAATGTCAATACAATATTTTATAAAGTATTTGTATATATGTTCAAATTCTTATAATAATTCCTCCTTTTCTATCCTTTCCTTGCTTATGAAAGGAGATGAAAGATCAGTAAAGCTAGCTAATCTCTATTAGAAATCATTTAAACCCTATTCCCAGAACTAATGACTGTACTGGTAAAAATGCTGACATTCTTAATCTGAATACTCCTACCAAAAATGAAGAATATAATCAGAGCTGGTTTTACTTTCACTATGAAAAATACTAAAAGGTGGGTTCCTAAAACCCATTTCTGCCTCTATCATAGGTACATAGAACATTATACCCATTCTTTTTATTAAGAAGTCATGAAAAAAACACTTAAGGTTAATAAGTGAAAATATACCTAAAAATATCACTATCAAACTATAAAAATATACCTTTATTTTATTTTATTATATAGTACCCTAGTTTTATTATACAAAGTGGAAAATCACTATATTATATGCTAACCAAATCTTTTTAAACTTAACCAGTGATAATTAAGATATTAACAGAAGTAGGGAGTTACCATGGCTTACATCTGAAGGAAGTTGATGGTAGCCACTGACATTTTTACAAACTTACTAGGCAAGGAACCACTGGCAAATTCATTTGATTTGTACTATTTCTTGTATTCAACTGGGGAATTGAGGATGAAAATCAAATTAGTTGCATCAGTTGCCAATTGCAGTTTTGTAGTAAAGTTGAAAGCATGAACACTTAACATACTCATGTATTAGCTCTGAAAGTTGTTGTTGTCTTTTTTTTTTTTAATTGAACCATAATACTAAATTTTTCAGAACTTTGAGAGCCTGAATGAGGCACAAAATAAAGATACTTACTAGAATCAATAAGGATGTTAAGCTGCCAACAACTAAATTGATGATTCGGTCCTGAAAGAGAAAAGAGATTATGAGCCATATGACTTGGATTCCCAGCACTCTCACAATGATACATATCAGGCCTTGGGGGTGGTTTAAAATGAAAATACTTCTATATATTTATGCTTGCCTTAAGGCAAGGTGTTCTGAGCCATAGGAATGGAAAAGGTACTTTGGAAAAATCAGGTCAATGAAGGAGGTTTCTTGAAAGTTGAGAAATTTACACTAGAATCTTGAAGAATGCAAAGAACTGAATGGGAAAGGAGGTTTACAAATAATCTTGTGCTGTTGGAAATAGTATAGGGAGGACAGAGTGCTAGAATTGTCAGGCCAGAGCTAGATTTTGTAGATGAGATATCTGAGTATGGGGTTTTTTGTTTTGTTTTGTTTTGTACTGGGGATTGAACCTAGGACCACTTGAGACAGGTCTGGTTAAATGCCGAGGCTGCCTTGAACTTGTGATCCTCCTGCCACTGAGCTTATAGGCGTGTGCTACTGTGCCTAGCTTCCATTGAGTTTTCTTGTCTTTTTCAAACCCAACTTGTGATCCAATTCTAATCCTAATCCAATCCTAATGAATTTACAGGTTAGCCAACCCAATTTGTCCTATGTGGAATACCTATAAAAAACATAATATTGTATAATATCATTCTAGATTATGATTTGCAGTCTGTTTTAATGCACCTGTGTCAATTTCATTGACACAGTCACAGAATTGAAAACTTCATCTGAGCAGGGAACATAATATGCAATGTGAGCAGCCAATAAACACCTCAGATGGGAAGGATCACACAGCAGCAAACTGAACCCTCATTTCCAAGTTGTCTGCTTTTAAAGATAAGAATCCAAAGAAGTTAGAGAGTCCAGCAGGCAAAGCTGAAAGGGGAAGTATATGTAAGAAACATGTACTGGTTGTGCCTGATCTAACCAAGGACCAACCACAACATGGCTACTGCAATTTGAAGGTTACCAGACAAAACTAATTCCATCCATAGCCTCATTATTCAGACAGATCCCACCTGGAGTCTGAAATTATGACCCTCTGTTAAGGATAGATCTAGGGCAATTCACTTATTACTACATAAGGTATATGTATATGAATGAATGTGTTTAATAAAAAATGTGTATTAAGATTAAATACATGAACCCCACTGCTTCTGCCTTGTGAAAAAGGTTCAACTACATTTTCTTCATGTTTATTCCAAGAATCTGCTCTCATCTCTACAAAAGCTAAGGAGTTGCAAAAGTTTACAAAGTCTGCTGTTTCACCAGTAGAAGCCAGGGAACAGGTTCAGGTAAGAGGTAGCTAAGAAGAGGAATCACTGATTTTCAAATGTTACAGCAACTTGTCTATCAGGATCAAAACAAGGGGAAAAATAATGGTGAAGGGACGGTAACTATCTTAACTTTCACATGTCTTCTCAAAAATTTTGGAATGAAATGGTAATGTCTATTTTATAGGTGACAAAACAGGTTCATCAAAATTTATATCTTGCCCAGGGTCTCATATTACAAATAGTAATGGAAATAAAATTCAATGTCAGGCCTGCTTTCCCCCAACAGAGAAGATCCCATTTATACTCTGCTGGATGAGCAACTACTGGTCTAGACAAAAGAAGTCAAATGGCAGATGACATCTCAAAGCCTATTAGTAAAGCATCCTGGTAGCCTATTAAGAATGAAGATTTCTGCATATGTGGGTCTTTTTTTCAAGATTATTGATTAACCATATAAGCATAATGTTTTAAACATTCTTATGAAAATGTATTTAAGTTAATATTTTCCTGCCTGCCTTTTACACAGCCACTGAAGAGAACTGCAAGTAATTTTCATGAATATCAGTTATTATACTGATGTAATGGTAGTGGTTCCTTGGGGCTCCCAAGATGAAGGGAACTACTTAGACATGGTAGAAGGGTTTCTCACAAAATGTTCTTATTCCAAGCAAAAGCCTATTAACATATCCATGAACCCAGGTCAAACTTTGGGAGATATCCCATTTCTAATGCTATCTTCTAAACTCTCCCTACTGCAAGTGTGGTATATGGACCAGCAGCACTGACCTCACTGAGAGCCTGTTAGAAGTACAAAATCTTGGACCTTGCCCCAGACCTAATGAATCAGAATCTACAGTTTAATGAGATCTAGTAATATTTGTGTGCACACTTAAGAAGCATTGTTCAGAGTCTTCAAATGAACTACTTTGAGTGAACTATTATTAAATTCAAATCACAGGGTGGAGACCCTTCCTTGGACCAGAGATTATTTTTAATTAGCAAGCTCTTCCAGCTCCTAATTTCCAACGACATTAGAGAATAATTCAAAAGCTAGGTAATTAACATTTCACAGGAGAGTTCTGGGATCAATATATTTCAAATTAGAACTAGAGTTTGTTTATGGACATTTCTATTTCTCCAACTCTATTAATTCTGTTTCTACTACCTGTTATATGGTTTTTAATTTTATTTTTACCCTAGCTCCATCTACCAAAACTGTTCTCCCCTCCCAGAGTTTTAAATCTTGTACTATTACTTAATGCCCTATGTAGGCCAGACAGGAGCAAGATCAGCCTGGATTCTTACCTGCTGAGAGGAAAAAGATAAGGATTTAGAATATCCCTCTCAAAAAACAAAACATTCAACAGAGTTTTCATTAATACTTCATGTACACTGTAATACATGAACATAAAATACATACTCATGTACATATATGTATTATTTTGAGAAGGATTCTATATATTACTTTGTAAGTTATTCATTTAAACATTAGTGTATGCTAGATAAAACCATCTCCACTCTCCAGAAATTTATACTATCCAGAGTTCAGGAGGCCACTAAGGAAAAAGGGAGAAAGGAATCTTGGTAAATCAGGGAGAGACTACCAGAGAAAAGTCAACCAAGGACTAGCAAATCAGAAGGAAAGGTGGTTCACTAAGAGGAATTCCACAAAGATCCAGGGAAGAACAAAAGCACTGCTGTTACCAAAAAAAAAAAGGGGCTGGGGGGAGGGGAACAAATGGAAATAGATGAGCAAACTTCATGAGCTGAATAAGAAATGGGAGAGGGCTGGGGATGTGGCTCAAGCGGTAGCACACTCGCCTAACATGCGTGCGGCCCGGGTTCGATCCTCAGCACCACATGAAAACAAAGATGTTGTGTCCGCCGAAAACTAAAAAAAATAAATATTAAAATTCTCTCTCTTTAAAAAAAAGAAAGAAAGAAAGAAATGGGAGACAATGTACTCTGAAGAGATCTTCCTGAACCCAAAGGAATCACATCATTGTTTTCCTCCAAAGAAAGGAGAAAAAGATGATAGGCATATGTAAATAGTTTGTATTTGTATTTGAGATGATAGAAAATTACCCTGCAGCAGCTTGGGAGGCTGACACAGAAGAATTGTGAGTTCAAAGCCCACTTCAGCAATGGCGAGACACAGTGAGACCTGTCTCTCAATAAAATACAAAATAGGGCTAGGGATGTGGCTCAGTGCCAAGTGCCCCTAAATTCAATCCCCAGTACTACCCCCACCCCACCCCGCAATGAAAAGAAAGAAAATTACCCTGTAAAGCAAGTAAGCAACACATTATCTCCATTTATCATTGTGTGACTGTAAATGCAAGTCTAGTGAGCAGATCACAAGAATTCCTAGACAGAGGATGTGGGCACTGAAATTAAGAATCAAGAGACCAATATTCTCATCCCATTATGCCACTGGCTAGCTGTATGATCTCAAGTGGATCCCCTAACCATCTATCAGATTAGAAAATTAGGCTAAATTATGTCTTGTCCTTTTCAGTTCTAATAATTTACAGTTCCAAAGAGTAGGCCTAGCCTACTTCCTTGGTTATCAAAAAATAGGGAAGCCCCCAATCTTGCCTGGTCAGTCACTGGCCAGCAATTTGATATAAGACTGAATCCCAAACTCATTCCAGAAGCTCAGGTAGTAATGATCACTCAGAGGAAATTGTTGTCAATAACCAAAAGCCAGCACCTGTCTTTAATTTTAAGGATACAACTCTAGTATTCTAGAGTTTAGAATGCTATAAATACCTTGTTCAACCTTCCATTTCCATGGCAATTCATGTTTTGCCTAGTCCCAAAATGGATTTGAAGGGCATGTGCTAAATATAAGAAAACCCTAACCCATTTAAGCAACAATAAAAAGATGAGGCCAAAATTTCTAAAGAGGTTTGGAGAATGTAAAAAAGGAATAAAAATTATCTGTGGTCAACAGTGGTCCAAAAATATTAAATGGGAAATTTCAGATCTAAATAATTTGTTAAGTTTTAAATTGTACATCATTCTGAGTAGCATGATGAAATCTCAACACTGTCCAGCCCTGTCCTGGGAAGACCTGTATCATCCCTTTGTCCACCATATCCACAGTTAGTCACCTTAGTCACTTAGTCGCCATCTCAGTTATCAGATTGTTGCAGCAATGCAGTATTTGTATTAAAGCAACCCTTGTTTTACCTAATAATGATCCCAAAGTACAAGAGTAGTGATGCTAGCAATTCAGATGTGCCAAAGAGAAGCCATAAAGTGTTTCCTTTAAGTGAAAATGTGAAAGTTCCTTACTTGATGGAAAAACTGTATGCTGAAGTTGCTCAGATCTACAGTAAGAAAGAATCTGTTGCCTGAAATTATGAAGAAGGAAATTAAGGCTAGTTTTGCTGTTATATCTCAGACAGTAAAAGTCACAGTGCAAGATAAATGTTTAAAATGGGAAAGATGCTAAATTAATAGGTTCACGATTTCCAGCATCTCCTATGGATAAAGGAGGATACTGTACTAAGATTCCTGGCAGCAAGGTGGGAAATTCAATGGGGTTTTAAATTCTAGCTAATAAAAGTAACTATGTTAGATCACTAGAGGAGGCAAACTTCTGGCTCTGAAAAGAATTTGTTGTATAAGTCTGTATAAAAATACAGGGATACAGGAAACAGGTATTTTGTATAGTTGTTTCTTACACTGGTCCGCAAGAAAGGCTGTGTCAGTTCTGTCACAAGAGAA